TAATAAAATGTTGAAAACTATCTATTAATCATAATATTGATTAACGGCCATACTAAATCACACCAATGGCGTTCAACACCATAGTTCAGGGGTACTAAGCAAAAATGTTCAGTGCCTCAAAAAACCTCACCCTAACTAAAATTTAGACCTATATCATTGCTATAGTTCAGGTTCCCTAACCCTAATTTTTACTATATATATAGCAAACTATTAAAACATATAAGTGGTGTTGAACACCACTAGTGCTATTGTTGATTAAAATCTAAATGTTTTTTTTTTTTTTAAATTCTACAAACTTTGGTTTATCACACTACAACAGCAACCAGAACACTTATATCATCTTTTTTCCCGCCTTGATAGTATAATCCTTCTTGCATAGCACGACTTTGAAAAGGGCTTACATTATTAACATCTTCACTAGCAGCTTTAGCGCGCCATGCAAGTGCATCACTAATTACTTGAAGATCATCACCTTGTTGGGAATGAGTAAATTTTGTAATTTCTTCAAGTATATCTTCTTCATATAAATTATCAAAGATGCCATCAGACCCTATAACCACCACATCTCTCTTTTGAACTTTAACCGTAAATTCTTGAGAATCTTTGGGTTTATCACAAGAATAAATGCCTAGCTGAAAAGGATAATTAAAACTGTGCTGCTGTTCTTCATTTCTGAATATTATACTATTATGACGAATAATACATATTCCACAATCACCAATGTTTGTTATCCGAAGTTCATCATCTCGTAAAACTGCTATTAGTGCTGTCGAAGAACCAACGACTCCCTAATACCAAAAATGAATAAATAATATAATACGTAAGTACTTGTTATTGGTCATGTTGTTATAATTTAAATTCAGGTTAATACAGGTTTAATAATAAATCAGGTTAACATTATAATTCCTAAAATTCGGGTGATTTTTTGTATATCGTGAAAGACTAAATTTACTTCGCCCCGGCATTCTTTCAGAATTCTTGCCGATCGGTCAAGAAAACAAAAAATATGGTTATCGTATTTTCGCGAAATAACGGGCATGGGCGTTATTTTGAAAATTGTAACCCTTAAAAATAACATATATGGGGCCTTTGCTATGATTTTTTTTTACTAAAAATAGATTTGTTATGATTTTACTAATTAAAATCTTGTGTAACAATAGCTCGGAGGGTCATTTTGTTAGCAAAAGCCCCATATGGCTTCAAAATAACGCCCATGCGCGTCCCGATATAACGTACACCCAAAGTAAGAGGTATTTATTTATAGTAATATTAAAAAATGCTTCGAAACTTGGTGTGTTACTAAGTAAACCTTGTTTCGAAGCATTTTTGTTATATATACGAAGATACTTAAAAATTTTATATTTGTCTCAAAATAACGCCGATGCGCGTACTCGAAATAACGCGCATAATACTCAGAATAACGCGCAGGTGGGCGTTATTTCGCGAAAATACGGTACATATAAACCCAAATCACTTTTGAATTTACAACTAGCTCCGATCTCTACGAAGTCACGTCATAACGCAGACTTCGCTGTGAAGAAATCAACACTGAACGATAAATTTGTATATTTGTATTAGAAAGAGACCAAACAAGTTACACGAAAATCGTTCAGTGTTACGTCAACATGTCGGATAAGGGGAATTATTTTTATGCCCTAATTTTAAACTTAAAGATATCTTAACAACAATCTAATTAAATTCATTAATTCTACAAATTTTAGAGTTAAAACTAATTGTGGTTGTTTTTTGCCGAGATATCTTTGCTCGAAGGTTTAAATTATGGGGCATAAAAAATAGCTTCTCACAAATATTTAATTCAACCGCGACACGTAAAATGGATCCACGGAGGATTGTTTGAGTAGCCCATTTTGTGGAAAACTATTATAAAGAAATTTACCTCTAATGTACAATCACGTATACTCTGTTCATAGCTTGCTTGCATAATCTTCGTTGGATTAACATCCTTAATATTATCATGTTTTTCAAGCTCTGTATACGCATAGTGCATCAACTTTCGGGAATACAAGGCTGAATTTGCTAAAAATTTATCGGAATCGACATTGCGCCAACTACCAACACCATCTGCAACGCCTAAGGAATCATGTCGCCTGAAGAAACTATCTTCTCCGCAACAAACACTAAAATATTGTTTGTCATTAGCAGTGGATACAAATTTGTTGGTATGCTTGGCTATACCGGAAGCACCGTGTATTAATGCCAATGGTTTCGAAAAAAGGGTATCAGAAGTTCGTGACGGCGAAAAGGGGTTATCAAAAAGGCTTAAAGTAGAATGTGAAGATGGTATGTGTTTAATTGAAGAAACTTCTTGGTACTTAGTATGATTAGATGACTGGGGTTTTGACGTTTTCTTCGTTGAGTGTAAAGAACGATGAACGGTATATGAAAAAGAAAATAGAGGAGATTTGGTTGAACGTGTTATCAACGCTTCAATACGAGAAGTAAAGGTTGACGCGGTGAGAAACGGACTTGATGTATAGTGTTGACGTTTTAAAGTTATTTCTCTCGGCCCAAATGACGGACAAAAATTTTTTGGAAGTAATTTAGAGAATTGCATTAATTTTTGTATACACGTATTGTGAATTAATCAGAAAAAAGTGTTATCGCGTGTGGAGTCTTTTTATATTATATTTATTCAATAATCACAAAATATTATACAGTAATAATATTTATATATCTTATCTTTTAATCAGACAAAAAAGACAAATGCTTTTTTGTTTTACGTACTCACCATTTACTTCTTATCTATCCAATCATAGACCTGAAATGTGTTACTTGAAATTTTTATATTTTTATTGGTTTTGTTTATCATGAATGTGTGCGTTATCTGATATCAATACAAAAAAAACTGATAAAAAGATAAGACATTTTTTCAAATCCCAAAATAGAACATATGTTTATCAGATATACTAATTTTGGTTCATATAACAAGCATGGTTACATCCGCATATACTTATTTCACAATATCTAATATCTTTGTACGTACATACTACTGAATTATATAGTTATCTATTTTATTCCAACTCTTTTACTCCATTTAACAGTGCGTTACTTCACATAATGCTTCTGGATAGTCAAGCCTTTGTGCAAAGCAAATTTTAATGCATGCATAGCGATAAAAATTAAAGCAATTGAACCGTATATAGACTTAATTTATTAATTCTCGGATGGATTGTAACACATCATTGATAAACAATACTAGTCATTGCTAAGTAAAGATATCAATTCCTACATATTCATGCATATGGCTCCATCAAGCAACGCGCGAAGGAAGATCACTCGCGCTCCGTTTACATCTCTATCTATAACTAAGCTACATTTTTACATTTATAAATCTTTTTACCGCTGATATCGGTTGTTGCTCAATTCCCCGAAAGCTATTTACCCGACAGGCCACTTACTCGACATCACATAGGGTTAGGGTTAGCATTTGATTAGCTGCATGTATATATTTTTAGCAATTTGTCACCCTTGTGATGTCGGGTAAGTGGCCTTTCGGTAAATAACTTTCGGGGAATCATACCTATAGATGTGCCGCGTATAGTACAGTACGCAAAAAAATTTTTGGAATGTTCTAGAACAAATCATTAAAGTATCCCTATCTCAAAATTTTGATTATGAAACTGTTTTTCGCACTCTAACAAAAATTGTTCCTTGCAAAATGTTACATGTAACTGATTTACAAATGCTACGTGTATTATGGATATTACGTATGCTATACACACTATACAACTATATGTACTGTACGTACTGTACGTACTGTATGCGAAAAAAATTCTGGTATCATATAAATGGCACATTACTAATCATACTGTAACCCTGATATCTTGTATTATTTAGTGAAACTCGACGATTTTGCGGTGCTAGTCAATGAGGCCAAATTGGAAGATTTAATTAAGGGAATAACCCAAAACATTATGCAATTGCATAGTGCATCAGAGGTAATTCCACCATTTTTGTATTTATTTGTTGTGCTTAGGGTAGACCTAACTATCGAGCATATTTTCAGAGTTTATTAGGCAAGCGTAAGTTAGAACAGAATCATTGCAACAACAATTGTTTGGAATTGTAACAACTGGGGTTTCTTGGTATTTCATTCGCTGGACTGGTTCTCCGAAAAAACCCAAAGTTGAAATCTTTCGCCAATATAATTGTGATTTTGAAGTGAAAAAATGTAGTTTCTTATATTGTTCGTATACTAGAAAATCAAGACGATATGTTAAAAAATAACTCAAAACGTACACGTAGAGACTAAAGCAGGCAAAATAGTATATGATGAAATAGATTTATGTTACTCTTTCTTTTCAGATTTTTGAATAAGAAAGTTTTTGTAACAATTATTAATAAAGATAGCTTCTCTTTGAGAAATTTTACGTGGCTTTTGTGCTATTTTTTCTGCGAATCAAAGGATTTGACATATCGCTTCACAATAATAAAACGAATGCTAGTGTCTATAAATTTAACAATTACAACTTTATTTTTATAAATTTCTGCAGACACGTGACCTATACCAATGATTCTGTCGGGTTTTACATGCAAAGTTTATTCTAGTGAATATTTTTATTACGTGGATAAAATTATCATCATCGTTATCACTACTGCACGAATCATCCAGGACGGCCATCAAAAACGCGGATCATGGCACAGCGCTAATCCCGTGGCGCAGCACCCCGTTTGAATAAGGATATTAATCGGTCCTGCAGTAATTGTCAGCCGACTTTGAGCAATATTTGTAAAAAATTGACATTTTTAACTAGTATTCATTCAATAAGTAAAATTATAGAAAAGTTATTTCTCTATAACAGTCTCTAATAAAAGTTTATCGGCTTTTGTATTAGTTTCTGAGTAACCTAGATGAGACCGATTAGGGACCGATCAACAAAATTTTCTCCATCTAAATTACTCAAAAACTAATACAAAAACCGATAAACTTTTATTAGAACTGTTATAGAAAAACAACTTTTCTATAACTTTACTTATTGAACGAATGCTAGTTAAAAATATCAATTTTCTACCTGTCTTATTCAAAGTCAACTGATAATTACTGCGGAACCGATTAACATCCCTACGTTTGAAATATCACCTATTCGCTCTTTACTAACTGTCATTTGGAGATCTTTCTAACTTTCTAACACGTTAAATTATTTGAAGCTATATAGTTTTCGCTCGATTCATCTTTTCTCATTAACCTATTATCGAGAAATTACTAGTTTTTTTTGCATTGACATAGCATTAGTCTAAGTTTCGTCGTTTAACCATAAACATAATGTAATAAAAAATAAAAATGCATTTGAATTTAGAGTATTCACTTTAAAAGTTGGCTGGGTAAAATAAAAAAAAGACAAAAGAACCTATAAAAAAAAGTCCGGTTAAGTTTAATTGTTTATTTAATGGTTTTAATCGATTATTTGATAAGTTCAAAATTAACTTTTATTTATGATAATTTCAAAATATGAATATACATTTCAAGTATAGAAGCGGAAGTAAATTTAGACTATTAGCTCTTATAGCTAGGGCTGAAGAGTATTACAGAAAATCATTGGCCTTTTCATAGCCCTCCAGGTATTAACATAAAAGCTTCCTTTTATTGATAAGATTTTACGAAAACATCAAAATAGTTTACTGTCAACATCATTTAGATTCTCAACGTGAGGATGTTATCGGCTCATTCTGCTCTATTTATTTATTAAAAAAAGTAGGAACACATTATATTGAACTAAAAAACCTTACTATTAGTAATTGGAATCAACAATTAATCAAAACATTGTTAAAATTTTGAATGATCAATTACTCCCCAACTCATTAATTAATTGATGTTTTAAAACAAAAGATATATCTATTGTTTTTTTTTTTTGTTTTTTTTTTTAGTGATCCTTCTTTTATTGATTAAATTGGTGTAGAATACCTCTGTAGTAGCTAAACTACCTAGTAGAACTACATATGCCTGTACTAATAAAGAATCACTCGATCTATTAACAAGAACCTTAAAAAAGTTCTGCAAGGAAGACCAGGTGCGACCCGCCTAAGTAGTACTTCTTTACCTCATCTGGAATTCCCAACTTACTGAGAATTTATATTCCAAAAGTCTGCAGTAGGTGCTCACCGACTTTGTCAGAATCACTGCTCTATATAATATATCACCAATCTGAAGAAAAATTCTTTAAAAAAAATCTGAAGAGCAAATAGAGTAAAAGGAATTACGAGAAGGGGGATATTTTAAAATGAAATATATAAGAAAATGACTAAACTAATAGAAGGAGTCTAAAGTACTAATTTAAAACTAAAAAACCTATCTAACAAATTGATACCTGCTAACCAGGATACTTATCTACTTGATTGTAGTAATTATATAGAACTCAGCTAATATAATAAAAAAACTAAACTAAATGCACTTTAATCTGTGCTAAGGGTTAAAAATTATATGCACATGACTTTGTCATTAGACTATATATCTCAAATTCTCTTTATTGCCCCAACTTTAAATCTATATTCCATTCCAAAATATAACAAATGACTCGACTTCACATGTTCTTCCAGTCTTATCTTGTCTAATTGGTGTGTAAGTCCTTAAAACTTTCTGAGTTTTTAATATACCAGGTCTCAAATAAAGAATAAATTACTTTCTATATAACCACATGTTTGTTGTATTCATATCACAGAGTCACCAAATATAGAAGTGGTAAACAATGCTGATCTTTTGACAAAGATAGCCTAATCCTCTACTTTTTGTTGAAAATTGGTTTTAGAAGCATCAAAGCAGTGAGAGAAGTTTTGGTGTTGCAAGTTTTTAACTAAAAAGAGTTTTTCTAAGAGTTCATCATATCTTTTTGTCTTCAAACTTCCTAAGTTTCTTTTCTACTTGCTGTTTCCAGAGATTCCTCCTGTTTGAATACTAAACGCAAAAAAGAGTCAACTCAAGAGAAAGCCGAGACAAGACTTGACCTCTTTGCAAATCATTCAAAATACCTGCTCCTTGGTGTATCATATTTAAAAACTTTGTCGACAACAGTTTGTATTGAGAAAACTTCAAGTTGTTGTTAACTTCTGGTCTTGAGTCTTCAACTTGCTTTCAGTACTAGTTAGTCCAAGTGATCATTAAAGAGAGTTAAATAAAATCGCTTTAATTATACAAAATAGATATATCTATTGTCTTAATGCAATCAAAAGTATTTTTTATTACAATTTAATTATCAATACAACCAATTGTTGTCTAATATTACTCAATCAACTATAATTAACTATAGTTGATCTACTCGATTTAATTACTACTTACCATCTTTAGTGTTTTTTATTTTTTTCTACTCATAAAAAGAACCTCTATATATCTCATCATTATAAAATATTTTTTTATTATAAAATTAAATAATCATATATTAAAATGTAATAAATATAGTATACTTAAAATATATTTTAAAATTAGAAATATATAATAATTACATCATATGTTCTGTTATTTGAGAAGCTTTGAATAAAAAAAATCTATTTATAGTTATAGCAATCTATAATCACCAATCACAGGAAATGTTTCAATTTTCTTATAATCATGATTGACCAATA